CCCCAAAACCCCAAAACCCCAAAACCCCTTTAGGAAATAATAAATTTGAAATTCGAAATAATAATTTAAATAAAGATGAATAAGAAACAATCTATTCCCGAGTACAGTTTCCAGATAAGCACAAGGACTAATCCCCACGATTCACTCTCCAAGCAGACAATGCAGTCAGGAAGGAGCGATAGAGTAGAAACTATCGTTTCAGATATTGATTCAGAAGATATGTTCTCTTTTACTCCTGTTATAAATTCAAATTATCAGGTAGACCAACATGACAGACCTGTTCATGAGAGGTTACTCAGAGCAGGAGAGTATTATAAATAAGAAATTAGATATGAAGAAGCAAGAAAACATCAAAGAAAAGGAAAGAGAAGAAAATCTGATAATTCAAGGTAAATTTGATAATTTTGCAATATTTTATTTACTGATTCTCCAGCTCAGGCTAAAAACTCAAAGAGACCTAAAAGTGGAAGAAATAAATCAAGAACAAAAAGAATGCAATACAGAATTGATGTAGCTGATAGATTGAATGATTACAAAGCTAAATACGATATGACATTGATTGAAGAGACAAGGAGGAAGGTTGACCAAGAAATAAAAATGCTCAAGCAAACTCCTAAAATCTCAGATAAAAGCCATCTAATCAGTAAAAGAACTCATGTAAGCAAAAGAATGTTTTGTTTAAATTTAATCATTATAGAAAAAGAAATCTCCTCCAAGAGATAAATCTCCTCAAAACGATGATCTTGTAGTTCAAAGACTGATGCACGATGCTGAAAGAAGGAATCAAAAAGTTTCAGCCCAACAAGAATATTCTGCTTCTGGAAGACCTCTTGGAATAAAAGATATTGAAATCTGATTTGAAGAAGATTATAAAAATGAACAAACTGGGGACTGAATAGAATCTCTTAGCTTTCAAAATACTGGTGCTTTTAGTAAAACAACAAAATCAAAATCTCCAAATGTTGTTTCAAGGCTTCATGAATGGGGAAAAGAAAAAGAAAATAAACTAAAAGAAGCTAGAAATGATTATCATCAAGATGTCACATTTACTCCAAGAATCAACGAAGTTTCTAAAATAATTACCGAACTTGAAGAACCTCATAAACCAAATGATGAATTATATTTGAATTCAACCAGAAAGTTAGTTGCATGTTAAACATTTAGTTACATGAAGTCAGGATTTCAAAGTCATGTTAGCCTTACTTCCTTGAGATCAAACAGTAAATATAAAAGTGGAAAAGGAACACCAGGAAAATACTCAAATAAAAATAAAAACAGAGATAGCAAATCCCCTTATACTTTCAAACCCCAACTCAGTAAGAAATCCCTCAAAATGGCTGAAAAAATGGGAAGCGCGAAAGATAGGCTATACAGACCTAAAAATCAGAGCAAATCACCAATATCTAGAAACCACAACCCACATTCTTTCTACCAAAATTCATACCAAAACTTGACTCAGTCAAAGTCTTTCATGAACAACAATCAGACTTATGATCAATCTTTAGACTCAAAAGCTAGTTTTCATCCTAAAATAAATTCCAAAAGTAGGAAAATTGATCGAAATGTCTCAAAATCTCCTATGAATAGAAGCTTTAATAGATTCGAAAGACTCTATATGAATGTGGATAGACAACAAGCTAAAATATCTGCTCTGAAAGACCTATACGAGAAGGAAAGTATTCTAAAAGACATTGAGACTTGTACTTTCACTCCGAGTATCAACAAGAATATAAACATAAGCACTCACAACACATACGCTGACGGAGACGTTGTAGAAAGGAATTATAATTGGATGAAATATAAAGAGCATAAAATACACCAAATGAAGAACCAGAAGGATGAGAAAGAAAAGAAAGATTGAACATTCAAACCACAAGTCTCCTCATTCGTATCTTCAGATACTTCAAATATTTGAATGAAATCGACTAATTCAGAAGCTATTGAGAAGTTCCTGAACAGACAAAAAGCAGCACGAGAGAAAAGAGAGGAGACCAAGATTTATGAAGAGTATATTAAAAATGGAGGAAGTGCATGAACTGATAGCTATGCATGGAAAGCACATAAAAACAGGTAACAATTTATGCTAATTCGTTAGAGTTAAAAATCTAACTAAAGAAGAAAATGAAAATTTTGCTGAGATTAATGATCCAAGCATGTTTAATTTTCATCCTAATGGGCTTAGAGATTATGAATATCTTCTCCAACAAACAAATAATATATGTATTCCTGAATATACAGAATCAGAGAATACAATTAGTGAATCAGACTTCAATACAAACGACGAGAAAAACATTATGAAAGAAGTAGAAAATTTAGACTCAGTCCTAAAGGCTATACAGCAAGAAAGTATAAATTTTGTCATTTATTTTAGTGAAAAGCGAAAATACAGACCAAGATAATTCTTCTGTGGCTAGCATCCAGGATGAAATTTCTAAATGGAATAAACTCACTACAGATCTTTCTGCTATAAAAGAGCAAAGATTAGGTGAAACCTCTAGCACTCCCTACTCTAAATTCCAGAACTCTAATACACAAGGTAACTTAAAATTATCAATCAGCTCTTTAGTATCTTGCTTATAAGCCTTAGGACCCTCATTTTTTTCTCCATCAGAACTAGATAAAGAATACTCTTGAAATAAACAGAATTAAAAATGAAATTTCTAGCAATTAAATAAAATTTATGTCAAAAGTATTGGAGCAAGAAACTCTAAGTAGAGTTTTCTAAGTTTATGCCTGATTTTCTAATATAATTTACATAGATCCTCTCCCAGCCCTTCCTATAGGTATTAGTTTAATTTAAACCCATAGATAAATTTCCTGAATCAAATCTGACCCCTATTCAAGACCACAGTGACAAGAATGTAAGTTTTTGATAATTTATTAAGATCCAGGAAGAAATATCAGCCCTGACCTCTTCTTTCTGAACTTATGACCTTGAAATGACAGGGGGTCTGGGTGATACGTCCTAAGAGGGAATTTAACACTGCAGGAAAGTTGACTGATTAGTTCTAACTAATGTGCGTCTTGCTAAGAAATTATTTATACATATTTATTCTTAGTAAGGAATTAGAGACGAGAAGTGAAGAGAAAATGCGAGATTTGCATTCTTTCTTAGTTATATGAAGAATCAGGGGGAAATAGGAGTAGGATGAGGGGTAAGGCTTCTTAGAGGAAATATTTGACTAGAATTTTTGGAAATTGTTTAGAATATTGATTTAGTAAATATTCATGATCTCAATGAATACAAAATAAATTGGGGTTTTGGGGTTTTGGGGTTTTGGGGTTTTGGGG